GAAAGAATACGATTCACCAAGATGATCAGCTGATTTCCGTAAGGGAATTCGCACTAAAAATCTACCATCTATGTCCCGTTTTGTTGTGGTTTCATATAAGTATTCGCATGCGTGTTCGTCTTCAGTATGTATTTCATTTCTACTAGTTATTTCTTCTAGTTCCCAAAATCGTTTTAAATTTGAATCTATTGTTTGTGTTAAATTACACTGAATCTGATTATTCTTACGCGGATAGTCGCTACCGACTGGACCTGAAATCAACCACCCTAATTTAGAGTTCTGTAGGAACGGTCCACTCGATAAGCGAATTCTACTTTCGTATAACATATCCCAGAATACATCTGCACCGATTAATAAATCAATCACGGACGGTTCATTAAAGGATGGATCCGCAAGATGAATATTATCCGGGATACGTAATAACTTATAATCTACTGGCTTTGAAGGTATAATCGACGTAATGCATGGCAGAACCATGCACTGAACCCGCGTACTATAATCACAGGTTTTTGATCGTATATTAATCTCACATCTTTCATTCGACTGAGTGAGTGATTGTCCCACACCCGAAATTCGTATAGTGGACTGTATAGATTTTATATTTAATCGTTTAAATAATTCGCTAGAAATGAAAGAGTGTTGACTTCCATTATCTAAAAGAGCACGTATTGTAAAACATCTGTTTTTATTATCGACTATATCAACTAGTGCAGTGCATAATAGAACTTGTTGCATTGTAAACAAAGTCGCATTTAAATCGTCTGTATTATTAATTTGAGAATGAAGTGCAGTCGATGTACCGTGCAGGTTATCAGCCGATTGTGAATAATGCGCACGATCAGCTGATGTGCCCGTGTCCATCTCATTATCCGTATGAATTAAACTGTTGTGTTTTCGTTGACATTGTTTACACGGACCAAACATACATTCGTTTATGGTATGCCCGCCGCGCAAACAATTTCGACATAACTTTTTATCATTAATTAAATTTATCCTCTCGTTTACAGATAAATTTAAAAAGGAAATACAAGTATAAAGGGCGTGGTTTCCGTTACACATAATACAATTACGTATTCGTCTATCAATAGGTTTATTAAACTTACTGTTGTTATTCGATCGCGTTGTAATGTAGCTATGTGTTAACTGTGATTGATTCGAAGACCTTTTAAAATCCTGTACAGATTTACGTTCGTGAACTATTTTATTCGATTGTACTTTATGATTCAAAAGTGTAACTTCCAACATGTCGGCTTTATTTCTTAAAAAGTTTAATAAATCATCTAATTTTAATTTATTGTTAGGATCACTAGAAATCGACCCCTTATGATTCTCCCATTCTCTTTCCGTACCTGAGTCTACTTTAGTCAGGACTAAATAAATAATTAGGGTGTCCCACGAATCTGTTGGTTCGCCCAAGGATTGGAGAGCGCGCAAATTACGCAAAATCGTATCAATTAATTTTCTAATCTGTTGTGATGATTCTTTTATAACTGCCGGAGCTGTGAACAATGATCTCACGTGGTTATAAACAAGGAGGCGGTTATTATGAAACCTGTTTTCTAATAGTTCCCAAGCATGATTATAATTGGATGCAGTGAATTCTAACGCACTAATTACTTGTAACGCACAACCACTAAGAGAAGATTTTAAATAGTGTAATTTTTGAATAGCGTCAAGATCAGTGCGTTTATGGATCATGGTTATATATGAATTTCTAAATTCTAGCCACTGATCGTAGGACCCGTCGAAGCAGGCCAGCCGTATGTCTGGAAGCTTCACAGCTACGGATTTCGAAGAGTGCGAACATTTGGAATCAGTAGCTTCATCTGTTTCTATCAAACATTTCGCCGCGGCAATATTACTATAGTACTGTTCCTCGATCAACTCTCTATATTCTAATTGATTGTCCAATTCTTTTTTTTCTACTAGAACATCTATTTGATTTTGAATATCACAATAATTGTTAAAACACTGCGCAATAGTTTGCATTCGTAAGTTTATTTCTGTTATTTGCATTTTTGTTAAAATAACAGATTTGAATTTATTGATATATTTTTCGAATAATGTTAATCTACCTTTTACAGTAGCTCTTAGTTTTTTCAGTTCAATAAGTTTGTTTATATCAATTGAAGTAACGTCTCTAAATTCGTCATCACTCATTTTAATGGCGTAAAGAAATCAAGTGCAGGTAGGTACTTACGATTTAAATTTCCAATAAAATTAAACTTAAATCCAATAATGCACAATAGAATACAACTATATTATAAAGTTCAACACTGTTAACACAAATTTCGTTTAGGACGAGTGACACAAAGGGATGATGGCTCTGACCGTTTTTCTTGTTGATTCTTTATTTCTTCGATAATCCGGCTGCGAAGACCATTATGTTTGCGCCTTTCCCTCTGTATATTTTAGTTTCTTGTTTGTTATTACGAATAAAATCCTTTGATAGTAATACGTATTTAGTTTTAATAGTTTAATCTTTACATAGTAGCATAACACGTAAAAGTTTATAATGACAAGACAAAATTCGAAGCGCCGAGTTAAGTTGTTGCCAGTCCTGTCGAGGGAGGCAATCCGTGTTCCACTTCACATTGATGACGCCTTTGATTCCTTATGAGTCTGATAGATGGCGTTAACATCGGTCCAAAAAAAACATTAATATTGGTCGCTTTGCCCTCATTCAATAGAATAGTATAGAATTTTCTATTCCATTCTATTCTATTAGTGTCAGTCCAAAAATAACATGAATATCGGTCCCTTTGCCCTTATTTAACCTAATAATTAGAATCAAAATTACAATAGCCTGAGCCGAGATTCAAACCCCCAGCGAAGACTAAGCCTAAAGTCATATCCGTCAGGCTGGAATTGGCCTTCAGCCACTCCAGAAGTCCTTCGGCGACTTTAGAGTCCCGTTCGCTCCTTATCATTCGGTGAAGCTGTAAAGGCCAGCTGCAGCCAGAAGTATTAGAAATCATTCATAATTTAAGAGCCACGCTCTTGTCTGTGGGCTCTAGCCACTTTCCACGATCTTCCATATTGCTCTTTAATGCTGATACGACACGACTGCAATTTTGTCTTTAATTTGCTTGATGTAGCTGTGTTTTGGTCTTCCCCTCCTCCTCTTTCCTTATATTTTACCCTCAATAATAATAATAATAACGCACACACATATACACACTCTGCACTTACTTGGTTTCGGCCCGTAAGTGAGGAGAAAACCAGCAAGAGCTGAGAAAAAAAAAATAATAATAATCATCTCCTCTCCTTTAGAGGGGAGATGAGAATTTTTGAAATAAAAAAGAAATAATTAGTTGTACAGTCCGAAAATTTCTCGAAATCGATGAAAAGGATATAACACCAGTCACACCAGGCACACAGTAAGTACACACACACTCACACATACAAACACGCGCACACACACATACACACACTATGTACTTACTTGGTCTCGGACCGTAAGTGTGGAGAAAACCAGCAAAAGCTGAGAAAAATAAATAATAATAATCTCAGGACAATTCACACAGCGCCATCTAGACCCAAGTTAAGCTAGCTAAAGCTTGTGTTATGGGTACTAGACAACTGATACAAATACACAGATATTTTTTTTTTTCGTAAATACATACATATTATACATAGAAAATACCCAGACCGATACAAACAATCATACTCATGAATACAAATGTTTGTGCCGTGCGAGGAATCGAACCCGCGACCATCGGACGTAAAGCGGTGTGCTAGACCGCTAGACCACCGAGGTCGTCGAATATTAATTTTAATAAATCTTGCCATCATCTTGCCATGTCAAGTATCCCACAATTTTCTCTCGTCTATTCTATAGTCTATGTCAATGCAATATCTACTTTCTTTTTCACTCCTTATGACACTTCTTCATTTCTAACTTTATCTTTCCAGCTAATTAGCATTATAATAATTCGAAAAAAGGGTCCATTAATTCACCAAACTTGGAGTACCTTTTTGCGTCGAGGGTCAGAAATATTTTCATATAAATGCTAGTCATTTGTTTTAAAAAGGATTATACTGGGTAACAATATCCAAACTGATAGTCATAATTAAATTGTCGATAAAATTAATTACCTACACTCTGGCAGAGAAGTTGTCGCGAAAGTTAACAGGCGGGCGTTTATAAATTGTGTTAAATCACCAAGCTATGCCTGATTTATCGAACTTGAATTTTATCGATAATTATCGATTTTGTAATCAAATTATAACTTGTTCAATACCATTATACTTATAAGAAAGCGTCATAATTACAAATTTTGACAGCGATTTAGACGGGAAAACTGTGAGTTCAGATCTAGTTGAAAACTAAAAGGATTGTATATATTTAATCGAATTAGGTTTGTGATGGATCTGCGGACTGTATGGGTATTTAAAATAGAACAGAAAATCATTTATTCAAATAAACTTACATTGAAGCACTTTTGAATAGTCCTCACATTTTTTTAATCTACCACTCATTCGGAAAGTTGTCTCATAACAAGAAGAACGAGCAAGAAACTTGTGTGTTGCTCTTTTAAATAATTGTATTCTTACTTTACAATTTGAGTTTAAGTGTGTGAATACAAACTACCGATTAGCAATAAATTCAATTAAATAATCAGATAGATGATGAAAACACGTAGTTTATAATATATAATGTGTAGTTGTGCAACTATAAAAAGGACAATGAGAGAATAATACAATAAAGTGAAGTATATCAAATAACATGACATATAAAAAATAACACTTCAAAAATATAAATTTAAACGACGAAGCAAACCGTCTGCTGTAGCTACGTCCACCATTGAAGAGATATATTTCAGAGAATTTTTAACTAACTTCAAAAGGGTGGTGAATTTAAAAACACTCGTTTAGAATTAGTCCTTATTTTTATTCGATATCGTAGCACATCGGCTTATTCCTCGCAATAAACAATTTCATTTCATTTCAAGGAGGTGTACAACATTCATCGATTAACAAAACTACTTTATACCCAGGTGGCATGGCTTCGAGTAGACACGCAGACAATCCTCACAATTGCTGGTCACGTCATAACCAAGAACCACCGGATCAGCGTCAGCCACGGCGATGGTGCGTGGACGCTGGGCCTGAGGGACGTCGGCCCATCGGACGGTGGACGGTACATGTGCCAGGTCAACACCGAGCCCATGATGAGTCAGACACACCAGCTCCAGGTTGTCGGTCAGCAGACGCAATTTCTTATTCTAACATTTTTTCATATTATAGGAGTTTGTCAGAGACACTCTTAAAATTGTATTAAAAAAAATTATTGAATCGGCTTGATGTTGGTATGTACCCGATACACTATTTGATTCTGTATCATCGCCAGCAAAATTTTAGTATTCATTGTATAGTAAAAGATAAGATTAGTAAGATACAATGGGACTAGCATTATCATATTATGATAAAAGTACATAAAATAAAAAAAAAATATGTACAACGTAGGTGGCAACCAAACAAACCGCCTATCTGATGGTAAACGGTTACCGTAGTCTACGGACGCCTGTAACGTCAGTATCACGTGCGCGGTACCAACTCTTAAGAAATCTTAATACCCTTCTTGGTAAACCCTATGCTAGTCTCTCGAGGAAACTCGGCAGGTAGTTCATTCCATAATCCATTCCATAAGGCCATCTATGCGCGGTAAGCAACCAATAAATGTCATCATTTATGCGGGTAGTTACTGCTTAGACTTTGTTACTGCACCGTCTGCATTATATACACCTTCTTTTGTATTTCCACTAATATTTAATTTTGTATAAGTTTATGGTTTTAGTTCTCATGTTAAGTGAATTATTTGTAATTCTTAATGAGAATAAATATCTAAAACCTAAAATAATCTAAGGGTACGTTGGAGGAAGCTCCTCTGAAACCGCATTGTCAGAACCAGTTTGGTTTCGGCGTGTGGAAATAATTTCCCAAGACATTAGCAATTCTAGCATTTTTTATGTAACTGCAATGGTAAAGAATTCCTATATATATAAACAGCAACATGGGCTGTTATCATATGCTAAATATCATACATACATAATATACATAGAAAACAACCAGACCAATACAAACAATCATACTTATGAATAAAAATGTTTGTACTGTGCGAGAAATCGAACCCGCGACAAAAGGAACTATAGCGATGTGTTAAACAACTATACCACCGAGACCGTCAAAAATTTTAATTTGTATAATTAACCTAAGTCACATAGCAAGTTCTGAAAAACTTAATTTACCGTCTAGTGGCAGACTCAGTTACAGAGATTAATATACTTATACGTATAGTACAAATATGACAAGCAATATAGACAGTGGCAGTACTTATGAGAGATGAACACACGGAAATAACAACCCGAGCTGCAGACAATGAGACGCTTGGCGTAGTTTTTCTGATATTCTTATATGCGAAGGTATAATACGTAGACATTTTTGGATATAGAAATATTTGGCATACATTTAAGAGTACAATTACATCGGTCAGATGAACATGTATATTTTTCAACGAATTTTGATGATCTTTACATTATTAACCTGGTCTTAACACGAATACTTTTATGGTAAATAAAGGTATGGTAAATTTACCTCTCCTGACGTTTCGACTAGCGCGAACTCGCGACCAGGATTAGTGCAAAGTAACCCTGGTCGCGAGGTGAATGGAGTAATGCGCCTAAAGTTCTCTCTACTGATCGGTACTATTATCCACTAATGGTACAGGAGGCAATTGAAATTAAATCCCAATTCAAACAGAGAGGATGTCTTAAAATTAACATTTGCATGGAAACCAGTCATAAATAAATTCAAACTAACTTCAATAGCATCAACAGTCAATAAATGTACGGATCCCGTGTGTGCTGTGTGTGATGATGATCTTTCGTTGAATAATCTAGTGCTAGTAGAAGAAAAACTGCTGGCACCTATCTACATTGACATCGCTGTTACTCCAGTCAGCTCATGACCACGGTTAGTGCAACCTAGTCGAAACGTCGTGAGAGGTAAATACTTTTATTTACCATAAAATTATTCGTGTTAAGACCCGGTTAATAATATAAATAATGTATATTAGACACGAACGTTTAACAATAACGAATGATGATGATGATGATCCCTCTGTATACACTGCCGATGCATCACTCGAATTACAATTCATCACTAATTGACCAAATCGACTACATCTGCAGACAAGATCTATGAGAGTAAAACTTGCAGATCGAAAATCGACCTTATTTATATATAATAAGAAGTCTAGTCAGGTTAATACTCTTTTCTCCCAAATGACCTTTATAATTGTCACACAGTTCCACCAGACATTGACGACGAGGTGAGCAGCAGTGAAATATTGGTGAAGGAAGGTGAGAATGCTGCACTTCGATGCGTAGCATCAGGAACTCCACTTCCAAACATAGCTTGGAGGAGAGAAGACTCGAGGCATTTCAAGATTGACAACCAGACATTAGGTATGATTATTACTTATTTAATTAGATTTATATTTAACATTTATTACACGTCTTATAATGATGTGGCCTGCCAATTTTATTATAATTTGTTTCTTGTCTTTGTCAGGTATGATTAGACTTTAGATTTTAGATTTTGTGTACCTATTATGTTAGGGGATAATAAGAGTACACTGTTTCATATATAGACAGTAGATTGGTCTTATTTTATACTACAAATAATAATAATAATAATAATAAACCCCGGCTGACTCTGCTTCTGTCGAGGGTAAGCTGCCATCTCCTCTCCTTAAGAGGGGAGATGAGAATTTGTTTTAAGTAATAATAATAATAATAATGCCTTGTAGATATAGCCTACAGCCATCCCAAATACACACAATATACAAAGCACCGTCAATGAAAAACTAACAAAGTATACAGATCTAGCAATAGAATTAAAAAAACAATAGAAAGCACACACCATCCACATAGTACCCATAGTTTTGTCATCCACAGGAATTATACCAAGAAGTCTTATCAAACATCTAGACACGTTGCAGATCCCCTCCTCTACAATAGACCTATTACAAAAAGCCGTCATTCTCAACACAGGCCGTATTGTACGGAAATTTCTGTCGTCTTCACTTTTATCATCGTCATATAACTCATCCACGCTTGTTTGAATGTATTACCCCTGTAAAAAGGGAGATATATAAAATATATGAATATATTTATTTGTCAGAATATGGTATGTACAATGGTGGTAAGTATATATAATATATGTTTCATCAAATTGGTTAACATTCAAAGATTTGACATATTATAAGAGTCTGTAATAGGCCTACATGAATAAAGATATTTTGAATTTGAATTCAGAGACCTTGCATCTCCCTTAACACAACCGCTATAGCAATTGTTTTTAAATACCACGTTGGTGGCAGACTAGCATACGGCTCATCTGATGGTAAACAGTTACCATAGCTTATGAACGCTTGAAACACCAGGGATGTCACTAGTGCTTTGTCGACGTCTGTCGAAAATTTCAAAATCTGTAAATTTTAACACACACACTCTCATACAAATATATTTTTTTTCGGGTTACAAAAAAGAGAAAACGTTTATAAAGAAAGTCTTTTTTTAAATTATATTATATCAATGAATTAGAACATTTGTAATAATAATAATAATAATAACCTCAGAACAATTCACACAGCGCCATCTAGACCCAAGTTAAGCTAGCTAAAGCTTGTGTTATGGGTACTAGACAACTGATACAAATACATAGATTTTTTTTCGTAAATACATACATATTATACATAGAAAACACCCTGACCGATACAAACAATCATACTCATGAATACAAATGTTTGTGCCGTGCGAGAAATCGAACCCGCGTCCATCGGTAGTAAGGCGGTGTGCTAAACCGCTAGACCACCGAGGCCGTCTAATGTGTAATGTTTGTAAAAAGATCAAATATACAAAACAAAGGCTCTTAAATTTATTGAGTCAGAGGTTCCCTATACCATATTTGATGTTTTTTGTTTTGTGGCAGCATAACAAATTAATACTCATGACCCGCGATAGTCATGAGTAAAACCTTCTTTTCGTAAATCGATCCCTACTAATTCGAAGGCCCGGCTTTGGGGTTTCTTAATAGTTAAATGCGAAAGATATTTTAACATAGTATTGCTGTGTTTATCGCGATGCAGATGTGGATAATTAAAACACCTCCGATTACCTCCTATCTGGAATAACATAGCAAATTAATATTCTATTAAATTAAAAATAAGAAACAATAATATTTAATTATGAAATACCGACTACAAAATTACACACAAATAAAGTTATTAAATTGAAACAAAGCTTGGGAATGTTCCCGTGTCTGCAAACATTCGCCGGTCGACAGTTAAAATTGGTCGAAACTGAACAGTAGCGGTCACAAACGAACCGTACCATATATTATGTACACAACTAAACTTTGTTGAATAATTTGTTGCCATAAATCTATACATATAAATTTTTAATACGTCTACTCATAAGCAGAATACAGAAAAAGTGTTAAATTTACCATTTGCTGCATCTGTATATCTGTATTTATCAAAATAAAGTAATTGACTGATCGATCCATCAATCAACCAATCCATCGATAGAATAGAGTAGAATAGAAAATCACTTATTCAAATAAACTTAATTTAAGCACTTTTGAATAGTCATAATATTTTTTTTATCTACCGTTCGTTCGAAAAGCTGTCTGTTACAAGAAGAACAAGCACGAAACTTGTGTGTTTCTCTTTTAAATAATCCTTGTTACCTTAAGTTTACATTTACAAGTCGAAACGTGTGAATACAAACTACCAACTAGCACTAATTTTTTTGGGACAAATATAAATATACAACAACGACTGATTTAATATCAGTCGTAGTGATAAGAGCAGACCAGTCACTACAAGCAGCACTCGTTCACGAGTATGACGAATGAGCCAGCCATTTGTTTGCTGCCATAAATCCATACATATAATTTTTTAATACGCCTACTCATAAGCAGAAAATATAGAAACTGTTAAATTTACCATTTGCCGCACCTGTATATCAGTATTCAGCAAAATAAAGTGATTGACTGATCGATCCATCAATCAACCAATCCATCGATCGATCGATCGATCATTCTACCGATCGATCGATGGATTGGTTGACTGATTGATCATATAATAAATGTTAAAGTATGTTTATCTGTTATTTCTTTGCCCCTAAATCATTACCATTTGAGATAGATTTGATGTAGGCAAATGCTATGAGATATTTTTTATTGCCAGTGAATTTTAAAATTTCAAATTTATAATTATTATTAAAAAGTATAGTTTATATATTTACTAGCTACTCACCAGACTGCGACAGCGACTTTGTCTTATACTATGTCCGTCCTTATGTATACTTAAATATTTAAAACTAGGCAAACGGATTTTAAAGCGAATTTTTTAATAGATAGAGTGATTGAAGAGAAAGGTTTATATGTATAATACATGTACACCCATGCGAAGCCGTGGCGAGTAGCTAGTAAGTACTATATTATAGTGAAATTGTAAATTCATTCATTCATTTATTATTTCGAGTAACAACCTTTTTAATTAAAATTTAAATGGAACAATCGTTATACAATTTATTAAATAGTCGTGGCGTCGTGTGCCTTCTTGTTCTCTGACCATAATAGTTGCATACCACCGTAATATTAAGACTTATAATTGCACGCCTAAATGTCGCCAGTTAAAGCTGTTCACTGAACTATGAGAAGTGGTCACAAACCAACCATACAATACCGTGCACAGAACTAAACTGTCCTGAGACCGCAAATTGAATATAAACCCTCTTATTTGTGTGAAGCTTAAATGTACTCAGTTCGGAAATTGCATCGTGTGTCACTTGCGGTTTCCGGAACAACTACAGTACTTTGTATTTGAAATTAAATGCTCAATAGAAATAATATTAAATACTATTGTATACATTGAAAATAATTTAATTTTAAACGTTGTTAAATAGTTCCAATTGACTCTGCCATGTGACTTTAAACGGTACTTATTGAAATAAACGCTTTTAAATAATATTTTTTTACTCTGCCGTAACACTTTAAATGACTTCAAAAAAAGTGATTCTCAATTCGATATTCCTTAGTCATAACAAAATATACTATTAAATTATATACGCTTTTAAATGAAAATACTTTCAGAATTTCCGTGATATTTTAAGCGACTTCAAAAAAAAGAGATTCTCAATACGACATTCTTCAGACATACCAAAAAATACTATTTTATATATTGAAAATAATTTAATTTTAAACGTTTTTAATTAGTATTTAAAAATAAATCCGTGATAATTTAAGCGACTTCAAAAAAAAGAGATTCTCAATTCGATAGTCTTTAGAGAAACAACGGCTCTAAAGTCTTTAACGGAGATCTGGCTGCCGGACAGAGCCAGCTGACGCTGCGATGATGATGATGATGATAGTGTCTAGATCTAGTATAGTTCTTTAGTTCCTTAGTATAATATTAAATAGGATGAATGATCACGTTTACTATTCAAAAGTGCTTATTACTGATTACAGGTTGAATAATAAATATTGAACACTATCAATATGGTTTATATACAAAAGCTAAATCAAATGTAACAAATTCGTAGTTCCATCTTCGAAAGTCTCCCTTTTTCAAATTTTATTTTTTTTATGACATATTACGTATTTAATTTAATTGTCTATTAAACACAATTTATTTCATTAAGTTAGCATTCTTAGTTTATGAGATATATATGTAGGTTTTTTTAAGTGACCCGATTTCGTTGCTCTCGAGTGTATTAAGTTTATTTTTTATTTGAATTAAGATTTCTATTTCTGTTGATGATTCTAATTGACCTCTATTTTTCAGTATCTAAATGGACTGGGCCGTGGTTGAATTTCACTGCTGTGGAGAGGACATCGTCAGGGGCGTATTTATGTATAGCAACGAACGGTATACCTCCATCGGTCAGCAAGAGAATCCAAATTAATGTTATGTGTAAGTATTTTTTCACCTCGCTGGTGTAGTGGTTTAGTACACCGCTTTACTTCCAATAGTCACGGGTTCGATTCGGGTTCGAGTCGCACGGTACAAACGTTTGTATTCATGAGTGTGATTGTTTGTATCGGTATGGGTGTTTTCTATGTATTTACGAAAAAGAAATATATCTATGTATTTGTATCAGTTGTCTAGTACCTATAATAAGCTCTAGATAGCTTCACTTGAGTTTAGATGGCGCTGTGTGAATTGTCCTGAGAAAATAAGGAAGAAAGGAATAAAAGAAACATTTTAGTAACAATTAATAAGACTAATAAAAACAATGAATAAGACAGCTACTATGATTGAGTGATTGAAAAATTAATCTGTTTTATTGTATTGTATTTTCATAATCATGTACAAGATTATAGAAGAGTATAGGAACTGAGTTTCTTGTCAGTTCTTCATTGAGACATATTATGGAATACTTAAAAATACAACTGAAGATGTAAACAATTTAAATATATTTAAATAACAATAAATTTAGTCAATGATGATGAACTATTGATTATCTAAGTAATCAATAGTTCATCATCTATTGATTATCTAAGTAATCCATAGTTCATCATCATTGACTATAGTCAAGCATAGCCTATAGTCCATAGGCATAGGCATAAGTATAGCCTATAGGCTATTATTTGTAGTCGGTGATGAACGTCGCCATTATCACTGGTTCCTGTAAGTCTATAGATAATCAATAGTTCATTATCATTGACTATAGACCATTATTTATAGTCGGTGTATTATGTCCTCTCTTTCCATTAGTTTGTATAAACCGTCAATTCAACTTACTCTTCTATTACACGTATCATCTTACATACATTCCGTTTATATTTATTTTGGTCATGCTTTTTATATTATGTTAGTTATTAATTTAATATTGGAAAATCAGACATTTTTGGTTTTATTATAAAGGAAGACGACCAATGTGTTAATTGAGCAACTTGGCACTTAAGCACAAAATGCATCGCCAATACTCCAGCTGCCAAATAGGTCAATGATGACCTCACTAAGATGTGTTTAAATATAGAACAGCTTTGGCTACTTTATAATAAATTTAAGGCAGATAATAAGCACTTTAGTGCGTCATGGTTATGATTTACTACCCCAATTTCGACTCGAAGTTTGAATCTGGTCGACAAAAAAACTTCTATCAATTCTAATTCTCTTATGACAGAAATACCGATAAGAAACATACTGTTAGCATCTATTTCTGCTACCATCTTCTTTTGTAATTACAGAATAAGACCTATGTAGAATAGGCAGCATATTAGGCAGTAGAATTACAGGATGAGACTCCTGACATGTCAGTCTTCAGAACGGCAACGTTTGAATGGTATCGCTGGCGATGTCCACGCTCGTATATAGGCGACGGTTACCACTTACCATCTGGTGGACCGTCAGCTTATTTGTCGTTCCAATTCCTTAAAAAAAGTTAACAAGATCTGATTATATGATATGCAAACCTTAACAAGAAGCGCTGAAATACTCGTCAAAAACAATTTAGCTTCCCAACGTATCACGGCAAATGGCAAAATTCAATACGATTTTTCCAAATTCGAGTATATGCTCCTCTAGAAAATTGGTGACTGCCAAGCTAGGATGAAAGGAAAATTCAGATTCATAACTTGTTGCCAATGTATCCACATTCATAGCATCACATACCAAAATTTTATAGCATTCTATCGCACCCGGCAAACGTTGTTTTGCCATATAAATTAATATCGCTATTAATAAATAGGAGTTGGTGATAGAAGGTTGAAAATTTTGAGTTGAATGTATTTTTAATGCCACATAATAAAAAAATAAGAAAATTTGTAGAAAAAATTAAAAAAAAATTTTGAGTGAGCCACCCTTAATACTTAGGGGTATAAAAATTTGTTATAAACCTATTGATATTATATACCTGTGACACGAGAATTTCATATATTAGATTATATTTTTCACATGTTCTGATTTATGCCATAGTTGCTCCATCAGTCTGGACTGGCCGAGTCGCTCTCCGGGCTCCAGTGGGCGGCGCTGTATCCCTCCAATGCACTGCTGAGGCATATCCAGTACCACAGGTCTACTGGACCCTGAATGGTGAACACAGACTTGTTAACGGTGAGTGTTCAGACTAGATTTTCCGAAGATCTACTTTATATAATCTCATCTGTATGCGTCTCATCATCCTGATCATCTGGATGAATGGCGGTCCTCCACCGTACGTTTCTCTAGAAAGTTTTTTCTGTATAACCCCATTGTGGAATGATTTTCCAGTGATTGATTGCTGAAACGATACGATATTGAAACCTTCAAGAAAAGAGCCATCTTAAAAGGGCGATAACGAACTTGTAATGTCCCTGATGATACGGGTGCTCATAGGTCACGGTAATCACTTACCATCAGATGAGCCGCAAGCTATTTCCCGTATACTATAAAAACAACCTAAATCTGGCGAAAAGTAGTTATGTTGTGGATGTCAATGTGAAGATATGGCAGTAAAATTATATAGTTTAGGGACATGATGACGATGATTTTGAGAGCATCGTCTTATAAAGGGTACTTTCTTATCGAAAAGATAAGAAAGTATCCTAGATACTGGCAGCGTTGGTTCTTTGAATATTATATATTATAACAAAATCATTCATAGAGCCAATGCCAATTATAATTTAAGTAATTTTGTTAGTATTACTGGAGTGTTGTATCACGTAAACACAGATCAATTAAAAACAATCATTGTTAAACCAGTCGAGGCACATCGACGACACATAAATAAGACAAACATCGACGTAAGAAAGTACCCTAGATACTGGCAGCGTTGGCTCTTTGAATATTATATATTATAACAAAATCATTCAAAGAGCCAACGCCAATTATAATTTAAGTAATTTTGTTAGTATTACTGGAGTGTTGTATCACGTAAACACAGATCAATTAAAAACAATCATTGTAACCAGTCGAGGCACATCGACGACACATAAATAAGAAAAAACCAACATCGACATAAGAAAGTACCCTAGATACTGGCAGCGTTGCATCAGCAGCATAATATATAATTATAACAAAATCATTCAAAGAGCCAACGCCAATTATAATTTAAGTAATTTTGTTAGTATTACTGGAGTGTTGTATCACGTAAACACAGATCAATTAAAAACAATCATTGTAATCCAGTCGAGGTACATCGATGACACATAAATAAGAAAAAACAAACATCGACGTAAGAAAGTACCCTAGATACTGGCAGCGTTGCATAAGCAGCATAATATATAATTATAACAAAATCATTCAAAGAGCCAACGCCAATTATAATTTAAGTAATTTTGTTAGTATTACTGGAGTGTTGTATCACGTAAACACAGATCAATTAAAAACAATCATTGTAATCCAGTCGAGGCACATCGACGACACATAAATAAGACAAACATCGACGTAAGAAAGTACCCTAGATACTGGCAGCGTTGGCTCTTTGAATATTATATATTATAACAAAATCATTCAAAGAGCCAACGCCAATTATAATTTAAGTAATTTTGTTAGTATTACTGGAGTGTTGTATCACGTAAACACAGATCAATTAAAAACAATCATTGTAACCAGTCGAGGCACATCGACGACACATAAATAAGAAAAAACCAACATCGACATAAGAAAGTACCCTAGATACTGGCAGCGTTGCATCAGCAGCATAATATATAATTATAACAAAATCATTCAAAGAGCCAACGCCAATTATAATTTAAGTAATTTTGTTAGTATTACTGGAGTGTTGTATCACGTAAACACAGATCAATTAAAAACAATCATTGTAATCCAGTCGAGGTACATCGATGACACATAAATAAGAAAAAACAAACATCGACGTAAGAAAGTACCCTAGATACTGGCAGCGTTGCATAAGCAGCATAATATATAATTATAACAAAATCATTCAAAGAGCCAACGCCAATTATAATTTAAGTAATTTTGTTAGTATTACTGGAGTGTTGTATCACGTAAACACAGATCAATTAAAAACAATCATTGTAATCCAGTCGAGGCAAATCGACGACACATAAATAAGAAAAAACAAACATCGACGTAAGAAAGTACCCTAGATACTGGCAGCGTTGCATAAGCAGCATAATATATAATTATAACAAAATCATTCAAAGAGCCAACGCCAATTATAATTTAAGTAATTTTGTTAGTATTACTGGAGTGTTGTATCACGTAAACACAGATCAATTAAAAACAATCATTGTAATCCAGTCGAGGCAAATCGACGACACATAAATAAGAAAAAACAAACATCGACGTAAGAAAGTACCCTAGATACTGGCAGCGTTGCATAAGCAGCATAATATATAATTATAACAAAATCATTCAAAGAGCCAACGCCAATTATAATTTAAGTAATTTTGTTAGTATTACTGGAGTGTTGTATCACGTAAACACAGATCAATTAAAAACAATCATTGTAATCCAGTCGAGGCAAATCGACGACACATAAATAAGAAAAAACAAACATCGACGTAAGAAAGTACCCTAGATACTGGCAGCGTTGCATCAGCAGCATAATATATAATTATAACAAAATCATTCAAAGAGCCAACGCTAATGACAACCTCGGTGGTCTAGCGGTCTAGCACACCGCTTTACGTCCGATGGTCGCGGATTCAATTCCTCGCACGGCACAAACATTTGTATTCATGAGTATAATTGTTTGTTTCGGTCAGGGTGTTTTCTCTTGTATAATATGTATGTATTTACGAAAAAAAAAAATGATTTATGTATCTGTATCAGTTATCTAGTACCCATAACACAAGCTTTAGCTAGCTTAAGTTGGGACTAGATGGCGCTGTGTGAATTGTCCTGAGATTATTATTATTATATTATATTATTATTATTATTATATAATTATAATTGAAGTAATTTTGTTGGTATTGTATCACGTGAATCCATCAATTGAAGCACGTCGATGCAACGTACCCAAGATACTGGCAGCACCGCTTCTTTGAATTATTTTGAGTTTATAATTGTAATTTAAGTAATTTTGTTGTTGGCTCATTTAATAAATTTATTACAATTCTTAATACTTAAAATAAGTTTGTTTGGTATTACTTTAGTGTTATTTATTTGTAGAGTCGAAACATAGAATCAGTATGTCAACCCGAGGCTACCGTCACACCCTGACTCTGTTAGTGTCAGACATGTCTCTGGAGGACGCGGGAGCTTACAGGTGTCAAGTGGAGAATTCCCTCGGCAGGGCGCAGGCGGAGTTATTTTTGCACAGTAAGTACATTTACATTTACAAAAAATACTTTATTATTATCTAAACAGTTTAAAATACTCCATTACATAAATATGTGTAATGGAGTATTTTAAACTGTTTGGACATTTTTATATACTTAACTTTTTACAGTTTTTATATTGTCATATATATTACTTGCTACCCACCCCGGCTTCGCACGGGTGTACATGTATTATACATATAAACCTTCCTCTTGAATCACTCTATCTATTATAACTGCTTCAAAATTAGTTGCGTAGTTTTAAAGATTTAAGCATACTCGTACATAGGGACGGACAGACAGCGACAGCAACTTTGTTTTATACTATATAATGATTGTCACTCTTTCACTGTTACTATATCTAGTAATATGTGTTCTTTCTTCTTCTTTATTTTCTTATCTCATACATACAGTCTAGTATCGCCCACAATTACTTTAAATAAACAATTGAGTGTTGACTTTTGACGATCTATATCTGTGGATGAATTATATAACGATGATAAAAGTGATGAAGAAAGAAATTTTCTTACAATACGACATGTGTTGAGAATGATGGCTTTTTGTAATAGGTCTATTGTAGAGGAGGGGATTTGCAACGTGTCTAGATGTTTGATAAGACTTCTTGGTATAATTCCTGTGGATTATTATTATTATTATCGTCTCACTCTCTCAGCTTTTGCTGGTTTTTTTCACACTTACGGGCCGAAACTAAGTAAGTGTAGTAAGTAGTGTGTGTGAGTGTGTGTGTGTGTGCGTGTGAGCGTGTGTGTATGTGTGAGTGTGTGTGTACTTATTGTGTGTGACTGGTGTGCCTGGTGTGACTGGTGTTATATCCTTTTCATCTATTTCGAGAAATTTCCGGACAGTACGATAGGTATTTCAGATGGCAGCCTTTTGAAAGGTGATGTACAATGTTTTATATTATTATTATTTATACAAAAATATAGCTTATATAAATTTCATGCCATATGCCATATGCCATGCCATGATATCATATTAAATAGTAACATTTCATTATATTGTGGTTTCATACAAACTATTGGTTAGCGTTACATTATTATGAATAAAATATTACACTCTGTTCGTAATATATGACATTTAATCAAATCAAATCAAATTTGTTGGCACTGTCGTGTACAAGCAGCAACAAAACGCAACACAAAAGGACCGTTCTGATTGGAGCGCACACCCATCCAATTTAAAACCGCGATATAACGACACCGACTTCAAAAATCAATACGATCGACGCAACGTACATTTCACTCAACCAATTTTGTGATTAATAGTAAATTTACCATTTAAATTTAAAAAAATCAAGCTAAATCTATCATTTATACACCTGTAATCTGCTGAAGCCAACATCATACTATGTGAGCATTCGAGCTACAACACGTACCAACCTCTATTTTCCAAGTTTGAATTGGTTTGTGTCACATTATATAGCTCGTAGGATAGATGGCTGTTGGGGTAAACCGGAAGACGCAGCGTGGGAAGGCCTCCAGCAAGGTGGACCGACGATCTGGTCAAGATCGCTGGAAGGCATCGGATGCAAGCAGCGCAGGACCGATCGTCGTGGAGATCTTTGGGGGAGGCCTATCACCAGCAGTGGGCATCTTCCGAGCTGCAATCATGATAATATTATTATGAATGAAACATTACACTCTGTTCTTAATATATGATATTTAATCGAAGTAATTTAATTTGTTGCCTCTATTTTCCAAGTTTAATGTTCCGCTCGGGTCATTTATTCTAATTAATGCGACAACTTCGTATTCGTTAAAGGGCACTAAACATTTACAGCCAGAAGTTCTGGAGTTATGGTTTGTGTTACCAACATTTGGAATATTTTCAATTCGTTTACGCTATTTATTGGAATAAACTTTAATATTGCAATTTTCAATGGCCATTATTTTATTCTATCGACAATAATATATTACACATTTATACCACACTAGAGTTGAAAGTTGTTTAGCTATATCCTTTTGTTATATTTTACGCTAACTGTACACGCGACTTCGTCCGCTTGGAATTTAAGATAGATAGATAGAATATACTTTATTTGCAACGTACAGTAAAGAAGAAGCACAAACAATATAACAAAAGACACATGTATCGTTACAATAATAATTTAACCTTATTTTTCTAAAATAAAAGTAGCCTAAGTTACTCATTATTATATCAGCTACTTGCCAAAAAGAGTCCCGTAAAAATCGGTCCAGCCAGTTCAGAGATTAGCCGGAATAAACAGACCGATAGACAGACAGACAAAAATTGTAAAAATGTTATATGTGTATACATAACTCAAAGGTGACTGACATGACACTGGACGGATCGGGCTGAAATTTGGCATGCAGGTAGATGTTATGACGTAGGCATCCGCTAAGAAAGGATTTTGATTTATTCTACCTCCAAGGGGATAAAATAGGGGATGAAAGTTTATATGAAACTTTGTCAATTTTAAACCGATCGGGCTGAGACTTTGCATGCATAAAGCTACTATGACGTAGGCATCCCCTAAGAAAGGATTTTGATAAATTCCACCCCTAACGGGAAAAATTAACGCGGGCGAAGCCTCGTGCAAAAGCTAGTTAGAATTATGCGAATAAAGATTATTTCTATTTCTATGATTTGATAAGGTTTTGTGAAAATTATTAAAATATCTTAGGCGGGTTGTTAGTTTGCAGACAAAATACATTACATACATTGTTAATAAGATAATGAATGGTAAATTGTTACTGTACCGGTTGTATATTATACTGTACGGAACTAAACTTTCCTGAGAGCACAAATTGAATATAAGCTCTCTTATTTGCATGAAGCTTAAGTGTACTTAGTTTGGAAATTGCATCGTATGTCACTTGCCGTCTTCGAAATAACAGCAGTATCCAAAATGAAATACTAAATAGAAATATAAGTAATATTATAAGATTGTTTTTTCTTTCACTGTTTTAAAATTATTTATTAGTTTTACAATTCCAAATTCAAATTTATTTTATTTGCAGTATTGACCAGGACCACAAAATCAACAACTTTTAATTAATTTATTCTATTTACAATTCCAAATTCAAATTAATTTTATTAGTATTACTGACCATGACCACGACAACAACAAATTTTCAATAATTTATTTCTATTTACAATTCCAAATGCAAATTAAATTTATTTGCAGTATTGACCACGATGACAAAATGAATAAATTTTCATTAATTTATTTGTATTTATAATTCCAAATTAAATTTATTTTTGTTTGCAGTGCTGACCACGACCACAACAACGACAACAACTACGACTACTACCACCACGACCACGACAACAACAACTACAGAGCCGCCATCGACCACCACACCTGCGTGTAAGTAGCTTATCTCTTTAACCATAGCCCTGTCAAATTTATCGGTAGAAAATTGATCAAAGTCGCACACGTAGCGTAGAATGAGATAGCAATACTAACTGTATCTTTATCGCTCTAATGCATGTTTAGTTAAAAAATTAAAGATATTTAAAATTTTGCTGTAAATGTACTTCAGTGCAAAGTTACATCGCTCATTCGATCCCGACCTGTCAAACGGAGCATGAATACAAAATCTGAGCGCCAGGACTGTAGGCTGACCACTAACATTTCGTAAAATACTCCTTTGTAGCAGTCGGTAGGTAGAAAAATTATATTTATTGAAATATTTACAAGGAATGGATTCAGTCCTAAATGATAAAGCTATTATTTTTCTTGTTGGTATCGTAACTAGGTGACGGTGTTGCTGCGCGATGAAAGTAAATTTGTCACACGTGTATTGGGGTTCTATTGGGTAGTAATAAAATTTAAAGTTCAACATACTTTAGTGACGAATATTTGTTTTCTTTATCCATTATAGTGGCATTTTAAATTTAATTCAAATTCAAAAATCATTTATTCATGTAAGACATTTTAGCCGCTTCTGAAAGTAAATTTTTTTATATTATAATATTTTCCCTTCCGTCCAGTTCAGTATAGAGATCCAATTGAGAAGAACTAGCAAGAAAATCAATTGATTTACTTATTTTTTTTAAAGCCAGTTTATTTTCAACGTACATTTATATACTTGTCTATGTCTAACATTAAATGAAAATCCCGTGCATGAACAACTATTGCCATGCACGCTCGTCATTTAAGTAATCGTTTAGTGAGTAGGCTTTGCTCAGTAAATATGATTTAACAGTTGTTTTGAATTTGACTACAATATTACAATAATCAATTAAAAACTAAATTAGAATGTTGTATCTCTACAGGTACAACTACGAGGCAAGTTTGAACAAGTTAATACAATTAATTTTATTTGAAACAAAACTGTCGTTACTCTTGTACTGCTACGAAGCTATCGCGAGGCGAACAACAGATAAGCTTTGTTTAATCTCAATGTTTGTTCGCAGACGATGCTGAAAGGCACTTGGAACAATTACACCGGGGAGTTCTCCAAGATCCGGGTATGGATAATCCGTACATTGTGCTCAGTCAACACCAAATGCAGAATCTCGGTGAGTGCTCCCCGTTATTATACCTGATTCAATTAAATTATATAAACAGTATTTGTTTTTGTACATTATTAATCGTAAACATATTAAACTTACTTTTTGATTTTGTACGAATTAATTAAAAAGTGATTAAACTTCTGATTTGTAATTATGTAATAATAATAATAATCTCAGGAAAATTCACACAGCGCCATCTAGACCCAAGTTAAGCTATCCAAAGCTTGTGTTATGGGTACTAGATAATTTATATACAGTATTTTTTTTTCATATATACATGCATATTATACATAGAAAACACCCAGACCGATTTGAATATTCATACTCATGTTTGTGCCGTGCGAGGCATCGAACCCGCGACCATCGGAAGTAAGGCGGTGCTTCACCGCTAGGCCACCGAGGCCGTCAATATAGTTTTGTATCTCTGTACAAGTAATTTATGAGATATGGACATCAACTCAAAAAGAAAGAAACAACCGAATACTACTAAATATAGGGGAGGGAAAATGTTGGGATACTCGATGTGGCACGATGAATGTTGAAAAATCGAGCGAAAGAGCGAGAGGGGAAGACCATTACCAACTCTATGGTTCTCCCACCTTTTTTTTATACCACTATGGTGACAAACAGGCATACGGCACATCTGATGGTAAATGGTTACCGTAGCCTATTGACGCCTGAAACACCAGGGGTGTCACGTGCGCGTCGCCGACCCTTAATTCCTACCCTAGTCTAGTCTTTCCTATAATAAAGTAAACTTATAACAAAATAATACATATATACTACTTTTTTTATATATTAGTAAAATATAATTATATCTCAGAACAACTCATACTGCGCCATTTAGTCCCAAGCTAAGCAGATCTTCTGTTATGGGTACTAGACAACTTATATAAATACTTAGATTAGTTTATAAATCGATTCATAATATACATAGAAAATACCTGACTGATACAAACAACACATGTTTGCACCGTGCGAGGAATCGAACCCGCGACCATCGGTAGTAAGGCATTAAGCTAAACCGCTATACTATTGAGGCTGTAATGATATTCAACAGAAATGGTAACAACAATGTGACCGGAGGCAGGGCGCGGCCTGGCCCCCTGGAACGAAGGTTGGCCGCCCCACGACTCTGCACCGAAATACACCAACACTATGTGGACACTTGCACTAGCCACACTAGTGCTCATAGCGTGACCAGTTGCCTGGTGAGTGAAGTAGGGACGTTTACGAAGTATTACAAAATGCAAAACAAGGTTGTTGAAATTGAACGTGTTTGTTATATTAATTTGTTATAAGTTGCTGTCGATACCTAAGTTAGAATAAACCATCTTAATATATCCACATTTTTATAAATAATGTTATATTAACTTTAAACAAATGACAGAAAAAATATTAACAATATTTATTTGTGTTTTAATGTTAAATTAATTTATTATAAGTTACTGTGTCCATCTAAATTGTAATATATATACACCACTCATTTGTATCTACAATTTTATAATTAACAAAATCAGATGCGCTAAAATAATGTTATATTAACTTTAAACAAATGATAGAAAAATATTAATTTCCTCGATCAATTTTAGGAATGTACACATGGTACAAAAGGGATATCTTATCATGATAATATTATTTGACACCTTAATGTTATATTAATTTATTATAAGTTTCTGTGGACATCTAAGTTATAATATATATATATGTATATACCACTCAATTGTATCTACCATTTTATAATTAACAAAATTGGACGCGCCGAAATAATGTTATATTAACTTTAAACAAATGTTAGAAAAAATATTAATTTATTCGATCAATTTTAGGAATGTATACATTGTACAAACGACTATTTATTATGTTAATATTATTTAAGATCTCCAGATGTTTTGACAAGGTTGATGAAGTTAGAATATAAACCATCTTAATATATCTACAGTTTTATAATTAACAAAATTGGACGCGCCGAAATGTTATATTAACTTTAAATAAAAGACAGAATATAAAATAATTTTCACCGATCAATTTTAGGAATGTATACATTGTACAAACGACCATTTATTATGATAATATTATTTAAGATCTCCAGATGTTTTGAGAAGGTTGTTGAATTTATAATATAAACCATCTTAATGTATCTACAGTTTTATAATTAACAAAATCGCACGGGCTATAATGTTATATTAATTTTAAACAAATGACAGAAAATATATTAATTTACTCGATAAAATTTAGGAATGTATACATTATACAAACAGGATATATATATATATTATTTTTATTATTTGATAGCTTCCAATGTATTGACAAACGTTCTGAGGGCGTATTGTGAACTCTTATTCCCTTACACGTCTTATACTGAATTGCCACACAATAACTGCTACAGATAGTCCTCTTTATCAGGGTTGCTTTGAAGCCAAAAAAAACGACCGCTCACGTAATTATAGAGCGTAGTAGTGGCCACACAACGTACACAAATCCTCGAAACGGTGAGGTCATACCGTGAAACTTGTGAATACACCAGGGTTTTGTGCTTCTAGGATGAGCTTGGCTGGCTTCTATATGCTCAACGGCCCAAACTAGAAGCTAAATGCAGATAATAGAGTGCAGACTACTGACCAAGATGTTAGCAACAGCGTCGAAATATCGAGATATTTATACTGTGATAAATAATATTATCACATTTGTATAATGTGTACAATTGTAAACAACAATGGATAAAGTTTTAATAAATATAATTTTAAGAATCATTGTTAATTTGGATTTAATTTTAATATAACATTCAACAGATTGATTCTAATAGACTAAAAGTCTACTTTAATATTATTTAACGTTAATTATAATTTATTTTATTATTTTTAATTATTAAGTTTAATATAAGTATGAGTAAGTTGTCATTATTGAGTTGTTTGGGCTATTGTCAGATGTTTGTAGCATCTGTAGCACTGCGACCTACATAGATCTATTGTGCATTATATTATCTATAAGTTGTCATTAAGTTAGTATATAATTTTATTTTGTAACACTGTAAATAATTCCTTTAAGACAACGACTGCATTGGCACTCCTAAATTTGTTAAATGTATATAATATAATCAACTATTCTAGATTATACGGTAATGATAATAAGTGATACCGCTGTAAATAATTTTGCACGAAGCTAGTCATATCAAATTTACAAAACACCTGAAAACAAGATTATGTAAAGTATATGAAATTTGTTGTTAAATAAATAATAAAAAAAGGAAAATGTGCTGGGACATATAGTACAAGTCAACGCCTCTTCGATCGATCCCCCGTCCAATTCAAACGGTGGTTGAAATTACGACAGCCTGAGCCGAGGTTCGAACCGCTAGCTGTGCCCTCAGACTAAAGTCGTATCCGTCAGGCGAGAGTTGGCCTTCAGCCGCTCCATAAGTTTGGAGTGCCATCTGCACTCGCCACCTATCGTCCGGTGAAGCTGTAAAGGCCAGCTGCGGAGCATTAGAGTAGTCAGAAAAGAAAAACTTGAATGTAAGGGACTTTCATTGCCCTCTTTTCACTACCAGCCTTTCTCTATCTTTTTACTCCCTCCACCCGACTGTAAAACTTTTTCGTGACGAAATAATCCTAATACGAGAAGTATTAAGGCTATATAGAAATTTAATTTCAAAAATAAACGTATACCAAACTCGATGAGTTTTATATAAAGTGTTATTTACATAGCAAAAATTTCAATAGGCACTGGCAGTACGTGAGAGAAGTAATACGATACAGCGATAAATTATTCAAAAGCCTTTTAAGAGATTTCATCGAACATTTTTCATCAATTACAACCCGTATTACTTTTCTTTTTTTATAACAACAGTTTATTTACAAACAAAATCTGTTGTTATTATTTATGTATAGAATTTTGCACGATGGCCTGTTTACAAAGAATTGTAAATGTAATGTAAAACTTACAATGTATCAAACTGTTCCGTTGTAAAATAAATATTGAACGAAATAACGCGTTTTATTCAAATTCTATTTTTTCTTCTTGTAGGACATTTTAGTTGGTTATGAATGTACATTATTCAAATTCAAACATTATTTTTTTATGTACATTTTAGCTGCTTAAGACCGTAAATTTTTTATATTATATTTTTATCCGTACCGTCCAGTTCAGTGTACAGATTCAATTGAGAAGAACTGGCAAGAAACTCAACTGATCTTTTTTTTATATATTTTAATAATAATAATAATATCTCAGGACACATATAGCACCATCTAGTCCCAAGTTAGTTAAGCAGAGCTAGAATTATAGATACTAGACAACTGATATAAATACATAGATATTTTTTTTTTTAAATACTATACATACTTAACCGATAACGATCATTTGATTCAATCGTCTTTTTTTTTTTAAATCATGAGTATAATCTAAATATATATAACTCAGAGGTGAGTGACGTGCTCTATCAACGCACAGCCCAAACCACTGGACGGATCGGGCTGAAATTTGGGATGCAGATAGATGTTACGACGTAGGCATCTGCTAAGAAAGGATTTTGATTAATTCTACCCTCGAGGGGATAAAATAGGGGATGAAAGTTTGTATGATACTTTGTCAATTTTAAACCGAACGGGCTGATACTTTGCATGCATAAAGCTACTATAACGTAGGCATCCCCTAAGAAATTCCACCCCTAAGGGGATAAATTAACGCGAGCGGAGCCGCGGGCAAAAGCTAGTTGTTTATATAGCTCTGGGTGTTTTCTATGTATAGTATGTATATACAAACAAATGTATTTATATCAGTTGTCTGGTAAATGTAGGGGTAGACTACCCCTAACATTTAGGGGGATGAAAATTAGATGTTGGCCGATTCTCAGACCTACTGAATACGCTCACAAAATTTCATGAGAATCGGTCAAGCCGTTTCTGAAGAGTATGGGAACGAAAACTGTGACACGAGAATTTTATATATAAGATAATCACTACATGGTATCAAACAAAGTCACTGTCGTTGTCTGTCCGTCCCTATGGATGCTTAAATCTTTAAAACTACGCAACGGAATTTGAAGCAGTTCTTTTTAATACATAGAGTGATTCAAGAGGAAGGTTTATATATATAATACATGTATACCCGTGCGACGCCGGGGCGAGTAACTAGTAATATTATAAAGCTGAAAAGTCTGTTTGTTTGAACGCGCTAATCTTAGGAACTACTGGTTCGAATTGAAAATTATTTTTGTGTTGGGTAGTCTATTTGTCGAGGAAGGCTTTAAGGTATATAACATTACGCTACGACCAATAGGAGCGGAGCTGCAATGAAAAATATTGAAAAAGGTGGGGAATAAAACGCAGACGAAGTTGTGCGGCTCAGCTAGTCTTTTATAAATGATGTGTCATAAATCTTTGGGGTAAATGCTTGTGGTAAGAAAGTGGTATAGCGGTCTGACAAAATTAAAATTCAAAAATTATTTATTCATGTAGGACATTTTAGCCGCTTATGAACGTCAAATTTTACATTATAATTTGTTTCCCTACCGTCCAGTTCGGTATATAGATCCAATTGAGAAGAACTGGCAAGAAACTCAATTGAATTACTTTTTTTTTTTAATCCAGTTTATTTACAATGCATAGGTATTTATATAGGTGTCTAGGTCTAACATTAAATGAAAATCCCGAACATGAAAACTATTGCCTGAAAACTATATCAAGTAATCGTTTAGTGAATAATAGGCCTTGCTCAGTAAATATGATTTAACAGATGTTTTGAATTTATTTAAGGGTAATTCCAATATATCCTTCGGTATCTTATTGTAAATTTTTATACCTATTCCCATAAAAGACCTATTGACTTTTTCTAAACGATACTTGGGGACAGCAAGTTTGTCTTTAAATCTAGTATTAATATTATGAATATTCCTGTTTTTTGGAAATAAGTCAAGATTTTTATGAACATATAGGATATTTGAATATATAAATTGAGAAGCAACGGTGAGAATATTTGCCTCTTTGAATTTTTCTCTTAATTAAATCTTGAACACTTGTCTTACCTATTTATTGTTATTTTCAGTCACATAAATAATCATCATTCCATAATTATCCCTTAAAAAATTATATTCCTTTGCAATTCCTCAGGTCATCATACTCTCATATACTTGTATATAATAATAATAATAATAACAGTATTAAAAAAAAACCAGTAAAAGCTGATATTAATAATAATCATCTCAGGATAATTCACACAGCGCCATCTAGACCCAAGTTAATCTACTTAAAGC